CATTTCAGGCAACAAAAACAAATTTGCTTTTACCGTTATTTTATTCAAGAATTACAATATTCTTTAAATTTCTGGAGCTGTGTATTTGAAACTTCATGACGTAGTCTAAGTAAGCTTATACTCACTTACGTTTATTTACCTACGTTTACTTTAAATGGTAGTTGCAGCGTGCATAGGTCTTTCTTAACGCCTGAATTTAAACTTGGACAGGTGTTTTAACGAAGTACCTGCCCGCGAATGCGGGCACCTCACTTCTTCATCTATTTATTGGCCCTAGGGCACCTGTGTGAATTTAAACATGGTTATTGAAATATTATATAAAATTTTCTTTAAAAAATGTAGTGGTCGATCTTTAATGATAGAGATTAACAATGATTAAGCTTAATATATCTTTTTTTTAATTTCGAGCCTTCTTAAATTGTGGTCATATTCATATAAAGTAATATTTGCTGTCTGTTTTATCTCTATTACTTTGTATTTAGAGTTTTCTTAATGAAAGCTTCCATTTTGCTACTTAGTACATATTTATTAAATAAGAAATAAATAAAATTAGAATATTACAAGTGTTTTAAAAGTGATTATTAAAAAAAATGTTTTGCCAACATACATTAAAATCAAAAATTATAAGATACGCCTACTTTTTACTGTGTGGTGTAAGAGAAAAAGTAACGCCTACTTATTAGTCAAAGAATTATTGCATTCATAGGTACCCATGTCGGCGATACCGTCCCGTGTTCTCATAGTTATTAAGTTGGTACCCGGTCAAAGATGGGCCTTTTCTCATTCTTCTTGAAATATTGGACATTGTGATGTGTCAGTAAAATAACAAGAACGCACATGTGATGTAGGATAGGGATATAAACTGTGTTTTAAGTTGATCGAGATGAAATTACTGTAAAGAAACAATGATTGCATACTGGCGCTGCATATTGGCATTGGTATGTTTTCTGTGGGACAGTCATTATATATTACATATAAGTATAGTTTTTCATTTTTATGGTGTAAAACTTCATCAAAAGTTTTTTTTTTTTTTGTCTACTTCAGAGAACTTCTCAGTACTAAGGACTACTAATAAATCATATTTATGCTGGTTTATCCTTTTATCAATAAATGTATATTGGTTGTGCTACGGATAGTGATTTTATTTTATTTTATAACCGTCGTTGAACAGCCGACCCAATTTCATGGGTTTACGACTACTTACGTTCAACTCCGTAGCCTTGTAATTTTGAACCAATCCAGAAAACAAGGAAACTCCTGGATCAGTACCCCCAGAGGTATTGATTTGTTGTGGGAACATGGAGGACTTTGAGACTCGACAGATTTAACGTGCATCAGTCATCATTTACTACACAGGAAGTCTTCGGCCGGCGAGGATCGAACCCACGACCTCTTGGATATGGGCCCAGCGCCCTACCGACCAGGCTATCCCGGCCCTACGGATAGTGATTGTAGCATCTACACTTTTCAAAACCAACTAACTTGTGCCGACAGAGACTGAGAGACCGGGAATATAAATACAGAGACGCGAAAAAGTATTTTTGACTGGTTACAAAATTTAAGTTATTTTCAGTCTGGTATTTTTCATTTTAAGTAGTTTTTTCACCACTGCCTATCAAATATTTGAATTACCATATAAATACCAACTTTATTGCAGAGGGGACGTGTAAATACTCTTATTTTATAATTTTTACTATTTAATTCGCTACCAATTTATTAAAACTTTTGCAGAAAGCTTGCAGCCCCGTGCCCGTATCCCGAGTGGCAAGAGAGTTAGCATCCTTGTAAATATTTTTGAGGAGTGGTCTTTTAACGCATTATTCTTTAGTATATTCGATTTCTAGGGATTTTACTCACCACTACTTCTAAATAGTTCAAATACATTAGAACATAGTTCAAAGAAGAAATTCCATCTACTTCTAATCAGACTTTATTCTTCCGTCGCTTTTATTGCTCAATAACTGCAGAGATGCCAACTGCTCCGGTCCGGACACGCCAAAATAATTAAAAGAACGATAAATAACTACTAAGTAAATTTTACAAATATTTGACTATTTTTACTTGCTTTTAAAGAGGAACAGCATGCCATTAATAACATAAAGTGGTGAATTATATAAGCCTACGAATGATTTAGAAATAGTGGTGGATAAAAATCTATTAAATTTACTAAACCAAGAATCACAATTGATAAACTACCACTTTAAAATATGTATTTGCTGTCCAGAGCAAGTTGGCATCTCTGTAACTGCTTGGAAGCGACTAGTGCCGAAAGACAGATACCACAACAAATACGCTCCCATTAAAGCATTATTAAATCTCTATTCCACCCTACCATGGCTGAAAGCCTTTATATAGCAAGACGGAAAAGAGAAAAAAATGCATACCTGCCAACTTTCACTCTTTCCGAGAATGGATTTTCAGAGTGGTTGTAAAACAATAACCGAAAATCAATCTGATTCAAAAATATATTTATATTTTGATCCCGTTGAAATTTGCTTGCGTAAAGATTATTATGCTTTCATATATTTATTGTAATTATTCATATGTAGTGGTGGTCAGACTCATCTATAATTATCATTATAATTCAAAAAGTTAATTGGAATAACCTGAGTATTGCTACTACTTTAAATATGAAAATAAAATCTTCCGGAAAATCCGGAAGAGTTGGCAGGTATGAAAATGGTACGTAAGACATTTCATTCCAGCATTTTTTTCGAAAAAAATAAAATATCTGTAACTATCAAGATTTCTTTTATAATTTCAGCATATTTACAAAGCTTCTTATTTTCCAAGATAAAGTTGATATTGTTGAATAGTTTAAAAAAGGAAAAGTAAACTCCTCCCAGAAACTAGCTATATCTGAAAAGGTTTTACTACCAGCCTTTTCTCTTTTCCGCCTCGCTTTCACCCCTTCCCCCTACTGCCTATAAACTATAACATCATAGTCAGAACTTCAATGATCCTCTATAACACACTATTACTTTTTAACTTCACTTGCATTTCATCGAAACACCACAAAGTTAAAGCTAACGATTTATGGGGAAAGGGTCGAAAGCCTCCACACGGTTTTTTTGTAGGTAGTCCGATCAGACCACTATAAAAGAGAACTAATTTGTTAAAAAACCATTCAATAAGAAATATATTAAAAATTAGAAAGTGGTAGCAAATATGTGTCTAAAAATTTGTTTAATTTATGAATATAATTGGTTTGTTTTATTCACTTGTCTACCACTACAGATTCAATTCTCAAATATATATCATAAATTCCTCTCGAGTCACTTCTTGAAATAGAATATGGGTTCATGCGCACCACACAAGTGGCTCGCTTATTAAACAATCTGAGCAGACTACTTATAAGAAACCGTGTGGAGGCTTTCTGATATAGGAGGTGATGCCCAGATGCTTTATACAGTTCTGTTCAGTTCAAATCTCCAGGCGAAGTGGCATCAACCGATTCGTCGGATTTTGGAGACATATAATGGGGCGATGTGTGAAGAGGGAGCAATTTACGTCTCAATTTTATTCGTATTTAAAAGGAAAATTCCTACAAACTATTTCAAACCAAAGTAAACTGAAAGAAATACATAAAAATTTGCTAAAATTAGTATTTTTAATGAATTTTGAAATTTTATTAGGCGCATGCATGAACGAATGTTATAAATGCTTACAAACATTTTTAACTTACTTAAATAGTTCTATAGCTTACTTTTCAACATAACTTCTTCAAACAGCAGAAATGCCAACTGCCCCTCCTTCTGCAAAAGTTTTTGCGTTAGACTTGCGGAATTATGATTAAAGACAAGTTAAAACTCAAAATGTATGTCTTCGTGCCCGATTTTTGTTTCTTAAAACTTCAACGCCACAAATTATTTACATATCAAAGGCTGTCTCTTTCGAACATTAGGATTACTGACTTTAGGCTAGGCGCAAACAGTTTAACCCTTTGGCTACTATCGGGACTCATTTGTCCCAACAAATGTTTAAAAATTACTAATGGGGTGAAAAGCACTTAGAAACTCATTGTAATATGTCCCAGTCGTAGAGTCGAATCATGTATACGTGTTTCATGTGTCGAATATCCCCTAGATGGCGCTAAAGGGTTTTTTTTGCATGAAATAGCATTGTGATTTCGCGCTGGGACAGATGTATCCCACTAGTATTCTTCATTGGGACAGATATATCCCATTCGTATTCTTGATTGGGATTGTTATGTCCATTCATATTTTATTCATATTTTCTCAAATGAACATAGAAAAAAAGAACAAATATGAGTTGTCCAATGTGTAATGTCTGGTTATGCAAAGATTGCTTCACCCTGTATCATACCATGTAAGAAAAAGTCCATATAATAAATTTTTCCGGAATGATAAATGTGCTTGTAGTAAGTCAATCACAACAGGTGGGACATATGTATCCCACCATTAAATACGGCGGGACATATATGTCCCAGTCTCTAAATTGATAACCGCTTGTCAGAAAAATCCCAAATACTGAATTTGCCTTATTTGTGACTATTTTGTCCATTTGAATAATAAACGGAACAAAAAAATAATTTTTTTTAAATTCGTAGTCAAAGGGTTAAGAACGCCTTTGCCCCTTTCTTTTGGGTAAAAAAATATATCCTTATTCATTCAATTTTTTTAATAAGCCTCACTAAAATATTCGCAGCAAGATCTGGGTAATCTAATGTTTTTATTCGTTTTCCCTACATTTTCCTTAATTTTTGAATGAAGTTTTAACAATTTGTGATGATAAATGACAAATCATTATATATACATTTTTAAGTAGATTTTCGGCGAAAGAAAAGTAAAAAGAGTGTGTCAGATTCTGGATCACAAAGAACATATATTTTAAAAAATTTGGCTGAAAAGATGGAACATGTTCCCTTGAGAAAAGAAACTCGCATACACTCTTTGTTTGGTGGTCATAAATCAGATAAATTTGAACACACGTGTTGTAGAATTAGATAAAGGAATCCAGAGAATAACTTGACTTGTAACATGGAAGCTTTAGATCAAGCATCTATTTGTGATACTATAACACCTGTTAGCTCTGGACCCTGGTTAAAAGAGCTTGAAGAAATGAATATAAAGTTGTCAGACGTCGGAAATGAGTCACAACCAGTTCAAATTCTGCTCAGAGCTGACGTAATAGGAAAACTTATGACTGGAAAACGAAGAGTATTGGCCAGTGGATTAGTAGCAATAGAGACACTACTGGGATGGACTTTAACAGGGAAAACACCTGAATATGATTTACCATCAAGCAACGCAATGTTGGTTACTTCCCTTTTTGTAAAAGAAATAGATATTTCTGAGCTGTGGAGATTAGATTCTTTAGGAATAAAAGATCCTTCAGAACAAAAATCTAGAGAGGACCTGCAAGAAGCCTCAATGGAACATTTCTTAAATACAGTGAAAGTTGAAGGAGATGACCCTTTTATAGTTAGTCTGCCATGGCTTGATGGGCATTTGCCTTTGCCAGATAATTATGATTTGGCGTTAAAGAGATTGCAAATGACAACACGCAAGTTGAAAACCGACAAATTGTATGATGCCTATGGAGAAGTGTTCAAGGACTGGGAGAAAGAGGAAGTAATTGAAGAGGTTCCAAAAGAAGACATGGGGATACCTTGTCACTACTTACCTCATCGACCTGTGATAAAGGAGAGCAGCACAACTAAAATTAGGCCCGTGTTCAATGCTTCTTCTAAGAGAAAAGGAGTTCCTAGTTTAAATGATTGTGTAGAGAAAGGGTTAAATTTGATAGAAGTAATTCCCCCAATGATAAATAAATTTCGAAGATATAAATTTGGTGTAACAGCTGATATACGTAAGGCTTTTTTGCAAGTAAGTCTTTATGAGAATGATAGAAATTTCTTGCGATTCTTATGGTATGGAGAAGATGGACAGCTGAAACAATTTCGAAGAGTTGTGTTTGGCGTTTCCTGTAGTCCGTTTTTGCTTGGAGCCACTATTCAATACCATTTGAATAATAAACTAGAGGAAGCAATGGGAGGGAATGAAAAATACCCTAAAGAGATTATACAGGAACTAATATGCAGTTTTTATGCAGATAATTGCCTCACAAGCGTGAAAACTGAATCAGAGTTGAAACAATTCATGGAAATTGCTACTAATATTATGGCTGAAAGACAATTTGATTTACGAGGGTGGGAGTCTATTAACCCATCAGAATCTAATTCTAGTGAGACCAACATTCTGGGAATGAAGTGGAATAGACAAAGTGATACTCTTTCCATAAATATTCCTGATGTTAATGAAACAAAGAATGAAGTGATCACAAAGCGAAATATTTTATCTGCTTCATACAGAGTTTTTGATCCCATAGGGATAACCAGTCCAGTTATGATGCGTCCAAAACTCTTGCTACAAAATTTGTGGAAGTCTAAAATTGGTTGGGACGCTGAAGTTGATCTAAAAACGAGCGAAGAATTTCTAAAATAGTTAAATGAGCTTGAATATCTGAAGAATGTAAAGGTGGCAAGATGGTTGCACTGCGATAAAGGAGTGGGAAATATTTCCCTTCATTTTTTTGTGATGGAAGCAAATATGCCTATTCGGCAGTAGTCTTTCTGCGAGTTTGTTATGGGACTAATGTTTATGTACAGCTGGTACAAAGTAAAACAAGAATTGTCCCTTGTGGGAAGAAAGAGACAACAATTGCAAGATTAGAACTTCTTGGTGCCACCATATCTGCTCGTCTTTCCATTGAGATCCGAAAGGAGTTTAAAACCGCGATGTATATTTTTGGACAGACTCCACCACAGTGTTAGCTTGGTTGAAAACGTGGGGTGTATTCGTGCAGAACCGTGTTCAAGAAATTAGGAAACTGACACCAGTTCAAGCATGGGGACATTTACCTGGATCCTTGAATCCCGCGGATCGGCCAAATAGAGATTGTTCAGCTAAACAATTGCGCCAGTCAAAATGGTGGGATAGTCCCTGTTGGCAGTATTTTCCATCCCGTGAATGGCCAACTAACGACTCAGAGGAAGATGTCAATGAAGAAGAAGTGATTAGAGAAAAAAGAAGAACGATCGTATCTTCAATTGTAAATATTGAAATTACAGAAATATTTTTTTATTTCCTATGATCTGCACAATCAGTCTGCCCGATGAGCAGACCTAGTGCGTTCTCCGGAAGTGGTATCCACTCTTTCAGGACCACCACAATGGGTGAGATACCGTTGGCCATGTTAATTTGGACGTCCTGTTTCTGCCACACTAGATGGCAGCACCAAGACTATTTGGATGCTAAAGTGTACTAGGAATTTAATTTTGCCGGAAATGCCTAGAGCCAATAAGGCACTCCAGGGATCTTTTACATGCCGCATAATCATACGACATGGCCGTTAATTACAGAAATATGGAGCGATCATTTTTCCTCTTACAGTAGAAACATCAGAGTGGTGTCATGGATTCTTCGTTTCATACATAACACATCACATGAAAATAAATTAAAAGGTAACTTGAGCTATGAAGAATTCAAAGAAGCAGAAACTCACGTTCTCAAATCGATACAATTAAAAGCGTTTCAAGATGAGAAGTTTCTTAACAAAATGCAAGCATTTAGAGATGAAAAGGGATTACTGCGAATATGAACCAAACTTGTAAATAGTAATGAAACTGAAGATTTTAGATTTCCCATTCTTTTACCTGGTAATAGTTTCGTTATGAAGTTAATACGAGAAGAGCATGCTGGATCTTCCATCGTACTTGTCAGACTTAGGGAGAAGTTTTGGATTCTTAAGGCTAAAAAGTTAGTAAAAGAAGTCATTTCTAAATGTGTGACATGCAAGCGTTTCAAATCTAAACCAGTTGAAGTTCCCTTCGCTCCGCTGCCTAGAGAAAGAGTTACCTTGACAAAAGTCTTCGAGGTAAGTGGCGTAGATTATGCTGGTCCTCTCTACCTAAAGTCAAAAGGAAAAGCTTGGATCGTTTTATTTACGTGCGCCGTTTTACCGAGCGGTCCATTTTGAACTGGTACAATCACTCACCACAGATGCTTATATCCAAGCCCTCAGACGAATCATTGCCAGACGATGCCGGATTTTAATCCTTTATTCCGACAACGGCTTGATTATTTAGTATTCGAATTAGTTAGGTTTTGTAAATATCACTAAATTTAGATTGCTGTAGAATTAATATATGCTTGTTAAGTTTTAATTCGTATCTGTTTATTCATCTGTAGAACTTGTAGTTCATTTGAATAACACAAAAAGGCGTCCGCAATATTTATTTCAACTTATTAACGACAATGATTTTCTTGATTACTCTCCACCGAATGCAACGAAAACAAATATCGAAATCTGAATTTATATTGCTTTCAATCTACTACAATGGGCTTTCGTACCGGTTTCTGGCAACAGCTAAGTTTCTTTTGTCGAACTTGCTTGCAAGACCTATCACGTGAAACGGAAGCTGTCATCTGATCTCACGTTCTTTTGTTTTAATTTTCAGTTTTGATTGTGAAGCGCCATCGAAAATTCTTATTCTCATTAAAAAATAGAGAAAAAAAACTTTTGCTTGCTCGATGGTATTACTTGGTTCATATACTGTAGTCAAATCGGAAGCTGGAACTAGCATCGAATTTGATTGGCTATGGAGCTCAGCAATTGGCACAAAACTGAAAGTAATGACAACATGGCATCACGGAGAATGAATGTTGTCTACTCGTTAAACGAGATTTTCTTTGCCGTTTCTCCAGGTGGAGAGACAGCTTTAGACAATTCCGCATCACTTACATCAAATTTGCAATCTTTTTTTCAGTTTTGAGGAAATTAAATGCAATATTCCTAATCAGAATTTTTCATATTAAAATTTCTTCAGGAATCAATAGCAAAAAATGTGAAGTATTAAATACCAACCTCATTGCCTGTTAACCTCAACGAAACTAAACAAAATGACAAATACTACACGATTAATGGGAAAATCATGTTATCTTGTAATCATTATTACAAGTAATTGATTACTGTAATTGAAAAATGTAATCAATTATATATTAATCAGGTTTACAACTGTAAATAAAGTTGACATCACGATTATAAGTAATTGATTACTGTAATTGACTGTTGTAATCACGATTACAGGTGAAATCAAAATCATGTTATCTTGTAATCATGATTAGAAGTAATTGATTACTGTAATTGAAAAATATAATCAATTATATTTTTGCCAACTCTGATATATATAAAGCTTATTATATCTAATATGGGGGACATAAACTTATTTCACTGTGATAGCAAGTATTTAAGACTGCCTCCTCACCAGTAGTTGCTTTCTATTAATAGTATATTTAAGTAAGTCCAGCTTTTGTAATTATTTAATGTAATTTTGAGTCAAATTGATGCAATTATTGCATGTTTTATAAACTAATAACTGTAAATAAAAGAAATCAAGTGATATTTAGCTAACTATGCAATCTTTTCTTATCAGCTCAATTGATTTAGATGAGTAGAGATGATTTGTTTTATGTTTAATTAATGCCAATTTAAGGTCATACGTCAACAATAGATGTAAACTAAATTGATGGTGTAATATTATTCCATTGCTAAAAGTGTAACGATTTATTCTGTAAAAAATAAATAAGTAATAAAATTATGGTACCAAAGCAATAAAAATTATACGGAGTAAATTTTTATTTCTCTCTTTTTTTAAATAATTTAATTAAGCAATAAATTTAACTAAGCATAATACTTACTGAGATTGTGGATAGATTTTAAAACAAACATTTAATTTCCAATTTATTGAAATATACAAAAATAAAGAAACAAAAACAATTAATGATACTAAATGTATGAAAAATTATTTTAAAAAATTGTATGAGAATTGTACTTTTTTTCATCTTCCTTTATAGGCGATTTTCCGTAAAACTCGGCTGATTAAGAAGAAAATAATAACAATTTATTATTTGTTTACTTTAACTTCATATTCTGAACTTTGAATTGAAGAAAATAAAGAAATAATCAAACTAAAATTTTATTCGCATTTCTTATATTTTTTTATTAATTATATACGATCGAAGTTTTACTTTAAATCAACTATGTAAATATTAAAACTATATAAGAAAAACCGAATCAAATCACAAAGCATTATTTTTTGTCTTATTCAATAAAATGGTTTTTAAAGGTCTAACAATAGATTCATTAACAAGTTAGTCGAAAATACCCAAGAAATAATAAATTTAATCGATTATATAACACTTTTTAAAAGCTTCAGTTATAAGACTTTATAAAAAAAATGTTAAAACACAATTTATACATCATACAATTATAGGAGATAGTTTTTTAAATCTCCCTTCAAAAAAACACACTACTTGGTTACATTTTTAAAACACATGGCCCCCTCTCAGTCATCCGTTGCCACCCTCAGCAACAAGTGAAGGAAAATATCACTATGGTGATTTTGGTTGGTTGGCGCGGGGCCGGAGGCCATAGCGACCAACCCGTTTGTGATAATTATAAATTTTTCGCAAAGATTCCGAAAGGGGAGAGCATCTGCTTCTGGTTGCTAATGGCAACCCGATACCGATCAGCATACCCTCCAACTGCTACGGAATTTCCGTAGTTTTAGAAATCTTCTTTTCAGACGGTAGCAAAATTAATGTCTTAATATTTAAAAAAAACTAATTTTAGCGAAACTTGTTCACTATTACTTATAAAAGTGCAGGCCATATGGCTAGATTCTTAAGTTCTGATAAAAGTTTCATGAGAGATCCATTTGCTTTAAAAATTTCTTCTTTGGTTCGCTACCACTAGAAAGAATTATTTTCAAAATCCTCATAAGTTGGAGGGTATGGATCAGTCATGTGACCAGTGCACTCTATTGTCACCCAGGGCAGGGCTAGTTCATTCCTCTCTTACAGCTGAAGCTACGATTTCCCTCCTCATGACGTCGCGCCGCACACAGATCTCGGAGATCCCAAGCAAAGATATTATGAAAACTATGCACCTTTCTCTCTGTAAAAATAAGTTCGACTTTTTCTCGATATTAGCTTTCAAACTTTACACAATTAACACATTATTTCCGCTCAAAAACATAGTACGAAAAATTTTCTTTGCCATAATATAAATAAAAAATACCATTTTAAACTAATGAAAATATTTTACTAGTTATCATAATTGACATTATAAATACTTCATTTTTTAAAGTTTCAATTTTAACTTTTATTATTAAAAAAAATGAAAGCATATATCGACACTTTTTAGCTCTATATTGTTCGATGACAATAATTTGTAAAGTTGGGTAAAATTTGGAATCCTGATTTTAAAATATGCTGTTAATGGCAATTTGTTCATACTTAATCATTAGGAAACAACAACCTTAAACGCTAATTACTGAAACAAAAGAATAATTTAGTTTCCTAATAATATTAACAATTTTACAATTGTTTATAGATATTTAAATTTAAGAGAATATAATTTTATAAACAATCATAAATATTTA